CCAACGGGGTGGGGGGGCAGTTAGGGGGGACCAGACCGGCGGGGGTGGGCAGTTAGGGGCAATCAGGCAGGCAGGCAGGTGAGAGATTAGGAGCCAGTGGTCCAGGATTGTGAGAGGGATCCCGAATTGGAGAGGGTGCAGGCTTGGCTGAGGGGACCCCCCACCTTCCCCTTGTGCATGAATTTTGTGCACCGGGCCTCTAGTAATAAATAAAAACATATATTTTTTTAAAAGAGCTGGTGTCTATTTCATTGATGTCTAACACATCCCCCCGAATCACCTTTGCACTTCTGGCCAACCTCCCCCCGGCCGCCGCCTCATCCTGGTTCCCCCGTCCTCAGGCTCACATCGCTGCCTGGTGATCACACAGCACCCGGGTCTGGGGACCCCACAGGGAACCCCGGGCGTCCAGCTGGTCCCCCCACACCTCCTCAGCGCCCGTCACGCAGGGCCGCATCCACAGACACACGGGAGTTCCCTCTTGGTTCACCCCGTGACCTCCTTCCGCACCCCTTGACGGGCAGCCCACTAGCACGTCCAGGCCCTGAGGGTCAGTTTGGAGCTAATGACCCCCAGATGGACGCGGCCGGAACTGAACGTGCGAGCAGCTGCTGGGGCCGCCGGGACCGGATGTTCGGCTGGTGGGGGCCGTGGGCCCGGATGAATGTGTCTGACGACCTGCTGAGAAACCACGGCTCCGGCGTGGAAACGGCGGCGTCCTGTGAGCCCACAGCAGAGGCCCGAGTCTCGGGGACGTGGGGGGCGAGCGAGGCCATGGTGTTGGAGAGCAGGGGTGGCCCGGTGGCAGGGGTGTGCAGGTATGTCTTTATTTTTCTTTCTTTAAAATATATTTTTATTGATTTCAGAGAGGAAGGGAGATGGAGAGATATAGAAACAGCCCTAACCAGTTTGGCTCAGTGGATAGAGCGTCGGCCTGTGGTCTGAAGGGTCCCGGGTTCAATTCCGGTCCAGGGCATGTACCTTGGTTGCGAGCACATCCCAGTGGGGGGTGTGCAGGAGGCAGCTGATCGATGTGTTCTCTCTCATCGATGTTTCTAACTCTCTATCCCTCTCCCTTCCTCTCTAAAAAATCAATAAAATATATTTTTAAAAAATCAATAAAATATTTTTAAAAAAAAAAAAAAAAGAAAGAAACATCAATGATGAGAGAGAATCATGGATTATTGGCTGACTCCTGCACGCCCCACACTGGGGATCGAGTCTACAACCTGGGCATGTGCCCTTGCCCAGGAATCGAACCTGGGACCCTTTGGCCGACAGGCCAAGGCTCTATCCACTGAGCCACACCGGCCAGGCTGCAGGCATCCTGATTAATTCAGCCCCTGGAGCTGGAGGAGCCGGAGCAGGAGTCCCCGTGACGCCCGAGCATCGGCCGCTCGCTGCGAGGGACTCACCTCCGCTCCCCTGATTCCTTGAAGCGGATTAGCTTTGAATCGATTTCCGAGGGGAACCGCGTTTTTAAAATTGAACAGAGATGAGGTCCCCGTCTCCAAATACATCCCAGTCGCCAAGGCCCAAGTAAAAGGCCCATTCAACTGGCTAATGAAAAAATGAAAAGTCCCCCTAACCGGTTTGGCTCAGTGGATAGAGAGTCGGCCTGCGGACTGAAGGGTCCCAGGTTCGATTCCGGTCAAGGGCATGTGCCTGGGTTGCGGGCACATCCCCAGTGGGGGATGTGCAGGAGGCGGCTGATCGATGTTTCTCTCTCATCGATGTTTCTGGCTCTCTGT